CTTGCATCCCAGGGATGAATCCTACTTGATCATGGTGCACAATTTTTTTGATATGTTTTTGTATCTGATTCGCCAGAATTTTATTGAGGATTTTTGCATCTAGGTTCATTAGAGATATTGGTCTGTAGTTTTCTTTCTTTGAGGTGTCTTTGTCTGGTTTAGGTATCAGGGTGATGTTGGCCTCGTAGAATGAATTTGGAAGTTCTCCCTCTTTTTCTATTTCCTGAAGTAGCTTGAAAAGTATTGGTATTAGTTCCTCTTTAAAGGTTTTGTAAAACTCTGCTGTATACCCATCCGGTCCTGGGCTTTTCTTAGTTGGTAGTCTTTTGATGGTTTCTTCTATTTCCTCAATTGATATTGGTCTGTTTAGGTTGTCTATATCCTCCTGACTCATAAACTTAAGAAATTTATCTATGCCTTCACTATCTTCTATTTTATTGGAGTATAAGGATTCAAAATAATTTTGATTATCTTCTGTATTTCTGAAGTGTCTGTTGTGATATTGCCTTTTTCATCCCGTATGCAAGTAATTTGAGTTCTCTCTCTTCTTCTCTTCGCTAGCATGGCTAAGGGTCTGTCGATTTTGTTTATTTTTTCAAAGAACTAACTTTTAGTTTTGTCAATTTTTTCAATTGTTTCTTTTGTTTCGATTTCATTAATTTCAGCTCTGATTTTAATTATTTCTTGCCTTCTACTTCTTTTGCTGTTGTTTTGCTCTTCTTTTTCTAGGATTTTGAAATGAAGTATGAGATCATTTATTTGTTGTTTTTTTTTCTTTTTTTAAGGAATGAACTCCAAGGAATGAATTTTCCTCTTAGACCTGCTTTCAATGTGTCCCATAGATTCTGATATGTTGTGTCTGTGTTTTCATTTATCTCTAAGAATTTTTTAATTTCCTCCTTGATGTCTTCTATAACCCATTGATCATTCAGTAACCTATTGTTCATTCTCCAAGTGATGCATGATTTTTCCTACCTTCTTTTATCGTTGATTTTCAGTTTCATTCCATTATGATCAGATAAGATGCATGGTATTATCTCTACTCCTTGATATTGTCTAAGAGTTGCCCTGTGACATAATATATGATCTATTTTTGAGAAGGATCCATGTGCTGCTGAGAAAAAAGTGTAACTGCTTGATGTTGGGTGGTATATTCTATATATGTCAATTAAGTCTAGGTTATTAATTGTGTTATTGAGTTCTGTAGTTTCCTTATTCAACTTTTGTTTGGAAGATCTGTCCAGTGGCGAGAGAGGTGTGTTGAAGTCTCCCATGATTATTGTATGGTGGTCTATTACACTCTTGAACTTGAGAAGAGTTTGTTTGATGAACATAGCTGCACCATTGTTTGGGGCATATATATTTATGAGTGTTATGTCTTGTTGGTGTATGGTTCCCTTAAGCAGTATGTAGTGTCCCTCTTTATCCCTTTTGATTAACTTTGGCTTGAAATCTATTTTAGTTGATATGAGTATGGACACTCCTGCTTGTTTCCGAAGTCTATATGAGTTATATGATTTTTCCCAACCTTTCACCTTCAGCCAATGTATGTCTTTTCCTATCAAATGCGTCTCCTGTATGCAACATATTGTTGGGTCTTGTTTTGTGATCCATTCTACTAGCCTGTGTCTCTTAATTGGTGAGTTTAAGCCATTAACATTTAGGGTTATTATTGAGATATGGGTTGTTCTTCCAGCCATATTTGTTTATTTATGTTACTAAACATGGTTTGTTTTCCTCTTTGATTATTTTCCCCCCTTTACTGTACTACCTCCCACTGTTGGTTTTCATTGTTATTTTCCATTTCCTCTTCCTGTAATGTTTTGCCAAGGATGTTTTGAAGAGATGGTTTTCTAGCTGCAAATTCTTTTAACTTTTGTTTATCGTGAAGGTTTTAATTTCATCTTCCATCCTGAAGCTTAATTTCCCTGGATACACAATTCTTGGTTGGAACCCATTTTCTTTCAGTGTTTGAAATATGTTATTCCAGTATCTTCTAGCTTTCAGAGTCTGTGTTGAAAGATCAGCTGTTATCCTGATTGGTTTACCCCTGAATGTAGTCTGCTTCCTTTCTCTTGTAGCTTTTAAAATTCTCTCCTTATTCTGTATGTTGGGCATCTTCATTATAATGTGTCTAGGTGTGGATCTCTTATGATTTTGCACATTCGGCGTGCTGTAGGTTTCTAGGATTTGGGATTCTGTCTCATTCTTCAAGTCTGGGAAGTTTTCTCATATTATTTCATTGAATAGATTGCTCATTCCTTTGGTTTGGACCTCTATACCTTCCTGTATCCCAATGACTCTTAAGTTTGGTCTCTTTATGTTATCCCATATTTCTTGGATGTTCTGCTCATGGTTTCTTAACAGTCTTGCTGACCTGTCTATGTTCTTTTCAAGTTGAAATACTTTGTCTTCATTGTCTGATATGCTATCTTCTAAGTGTTCTACTCTGCTGGTAGTATTCTCAATTGAGTTTTTAAGTTGGTTTATTGCTTCCTGCATTTCTAGGATTTCTGTTTGTTTGTTTTTTATAACCTCTATCTCCCTGTATAGTTGATCTTTTGCTTCTTGGATTTGTTTATGTAATTCATTGTCGAAGTGATCTTTCATTGTCTGATTTTGCTGTCTGATGTCTTCCTTGAGACTCCAGATCATCTGAAGCATGTATATCCTGAATTCTTTATCTGACATTCCATCTGCTGCAGATATTACCTCTTCTAAAGTTGAGTTGACCTGCATTGCTTGGGGTCCTTTCTTTCCTTGTCTTTTCATACTGCTCGCATTTCTTTCTGCTTGGTGAAACTGTTGTGTTATTGAAATTTTCCCCCTATATATTTATATTGCTCTTGTATAGTTGAAAAGTCTCCCTTGCAGGGGCGGGCAGCGGCTGTGCTCCTCCTCCAATTGGGGTAATCTGTCTACCACGCTGACGGGCTGCTGGGCCTGTTCTGCTGGTCGGTCGCAGGTCTGCCTGCCTTGCGGGCACGGGTGGCAGCTCTTTTCTGCCCCTACTCCAATTGGGGTGACATGTCTACCATGCCGGCAGGCCGCTGGGCCTGTTTCGCCGGTCTGTCGCAGGTCTGCCTACCTTGCGGGCACAGGCGAAGGCTCTGCTCTGCCCCTACACCAATTGGAGTGATGTGTCTACCATGCCAGTAGGCCGCTGGGCCTGTTCCGCCGGTCAGTCGCAGGTCTGCCTACCTTGCGGGCACGGGCGAAGGCTCTGCTCTGCCCCTACTCCAATTGGGGTGACGTGACTACCACACCGGCGGGTCACTGTGCCTGTTCCGGGCACGGGCAGCGGCTCTGCTCTGCCCCCCTGGATTGATGACAAAGTGAGAGAGACTTGGGTGTTTGTGACTCACTTTCTTTACCAGGAGACCAACTGTTTCTGTCGCCACTGTTATCGATGAAGTTATCTCCTCTGCTGCTTTCTGATGACATCAGATCTCTGCCATGTTGGTATCCCATGCGAATGGCAACATTTCGTTCCCTTTGCCAGGTGACCAAAGCAGCGGGTGGGTCCTGACCGGCCCTCACAAGCCCCGTCTCAATCCTGTTGCCACTGCCTATGAAGGCTCGGTTGGTATTTACCTCCACAGTATTCAGCAGGACCCGGACCAAGAAGCAGTTTCCGCGGGTTCTTTAGCCCTGGGCCAGAGCAGTTCCGGGAGCCAGAATTCGGCCGCTCCGGGCTCAGTGTATGTTCTGATAGGAGCAGGTTCCAAGAAGCAGTTTCCGCGGGTTCTTTAGCACTGAGCCTGAGTAATTTGTCTGCGAGACGCAGGCGAATGGCAGCCTGAAATTACCTGTTCTATAGCTGAATGAGCTGCGATCAGTCGAAAACAGGGATGGTGACGTCAGCTCTCCAAGATGGTGGCCGCTGGCTTCCTCTGTGGTCTGACTGGTGTGGAGAACTGAATTGGACCTCTTCCTTCCCCCTCTCAAACCCAGAATTCAGCACTGAGTACAGTGATTGCACAGCCGACTGGAGCCCGCAGAATCCACAGTGCTGTATCTTTGCATTGCTATCTCGTCATTTCCCAGCACGCACCGCAGACTCTAGCCACGGGGCGATTTGCTGAATAAGCAGCTTGACCCTCCGTGCGGACAAATCACTTGCGTTTGAGCCCCCGTAGCTGATCCTTGTGCAATGGAAATCCTTCCTCTAAGTTTTGGAGCACCCCAATTTTGCTGGAAATTCCTAACAAGATAGCTTTTAGCCATTCTAACTTGTCATTCTCCCGCACAGTGACGCGGTACACGGGGGTGATGCACTCCCTTCGCCGCCATCTTCCCCTCTCCCCCATTCTACTGTTTTGTATAACTAATTAGAACACACCAAATATTAAAATATAGTTCTGCTCATCAAGTCTCAGAATTGTTAGTGATATACTTTATATTATATGTGACATATATGAACTCATGAAATAAAGTTACTAGTCAAAAAAAAACACTAGTAGGTCATTGATTAATGTTTTTGAAAAAGTACAAATTTCAGAAATCTAAAATGTTTTCATTTTCAACACTATTTAGAGCAGTGGTTCTTAACCAGAGATCAGTATCAAAATCACCTTGAGATTTTTAAAAATATATACTTGATCAACCTAATCTAGAGATTGTAACCCAATCTAGCGATAGTTTTCTGATATTTTCATTTTTTTTAATTTCCAAATTCTCTTTTTACATCTAGTTTAAAACCACTAGCTTAGAAACTGTTTTACTCAGTGTCTTTTATAGACATTTTTAAGTTAGTTGTTATTTAATGATACATAAGGACTGTGTTTTGTGCTGGGTATTAGAGCTTTATTTTGGAAGTGAAAATAGTTTTGACTCAAATATAAATAGATTTCACTATTTTGATTTACTTTATTTTGTTTTTAAGAATTGATGATGAGAGATTTCATGGATTTACAAAGTGTAGTTATTGGATGATTATATTTATGGCTATTATTATTGATAATATAAATTCAATTAAAACATTTTTCTTTTTTTGACAGACAAGACGTGAACATCACAACATATGCTAATACCATTCCAAGTAAGAACTTAGTCTTTGAAGTTCAATTATTTTTTACAGTTTAAAATAATTTTAGCAAATAATGACTAGAATCTTCTGTTAAATATGACAAATCAATAACTTCCTTGAACTTGTGATAAAACATAATGAATGCATGTTTGTGTTCTGACCTTAATATGGGTCTGTATTAGCTAACTTAAAATGAAAGACTTGTTTAGCTTTTCCTTCCTCCTCATAGTATAAAATCTGCTTACTTATTTAACTTCATCTTGTGTCCAAAAATCAAAATTACAAAACCCAAATTAAGGAGAACAAATATAGTTAGAGAGGTGAATGTAATTACTGAACATACCATTTGTTGAAGAGCTGCAACTTTGGAAATTCTCATTAATATATTGAGCTGAAATAATTCATTATGCTACAATTTTTTCCAATAGTTCTTCCCTCTGGAAATATAGAAAGAAAACTGTAACATTGTGATTAAGAACATGAACTCAGAGGTCAACTTGTCTATATGTGAACCTTTACTATTTAATAGCTTTATGATTTGAGGGAAGAATTTAACTTCTATCAGTGCTTTATTTTTCTTCATTCATAAGAAATGGAGGTAATTGTCTTTTCTATTTCAAAGAGTTTTGTAATGAATAAGTGGGTTTATATATTAAGCACTTGGAACATAGTTTGACAATATTAAACACCACATAAATGTTAACAATTGAAATTATGTTATCACTACTACTACTACTACTACTACTCTCTCATATAGTAGCTCTTTAAATATATGAATAAATTGATCACATCTCTCACTAGACTCTTCATCTCCAGGAGAACTATCCTGAGTTTTGAATACCATTGCTCTTTTGAAATAGCTTATGAGTAATTTGATTTTCCTAATTATTCTATTCTGGATGCCCTCAAGTGTATATACGCCATTCTTTAAGAAGTTTTGTCATACTCACTACTTGGTTAATAGCCCTAAGTTCTATTATTTGGGATAATATTGAAGTGACAGTGGTGCTAAAACAAGCACTCAAAATTAATCAATCAAACATCATACTGAATAATTTATGGTGAGCATTGCACTAATTATTGTGGGAACTATAGAAGGAATCATAATATTATCTGCAATATAACCAAAATGGCATAAGGAAAACAAACCAAAACAAAGGAGATGATGTAGGCATTTGGAATGAAATAGTTAATCTTTATCTGTTTTCCATTCCTACTATTTTATTTTACCAAGATGATTTAGGTAAATATTTATGAAATTTTTAAATCCAGGAAATAAAATTATAAATGTTACATTAAGCAGAATTCAATATTAAACAGAGTAATTGATTTTTATTTTCCCTGATTACTATACAAATAAATTACAAGTCTCCAGAAAGAAGCTATATTTTGAGTTATCCTAAATATATATATATATATATATATATATATATATATATATAGATAGATAGATATATAGATATAGATATATATATATATAGATATATATAGATATAGATATAGATATAGATATAGATATAGATATAGATATATATAGATATAGATATAGATATATATATTGCTGAAGAATGTTTCAGTGTTGATGCAAGTGTTGCTATTAATTTCAAATTATTTGTTGCTTTCTCTCATTTTAGTCAGTGAAACTAGTGGAAAATCATGGAATCAAGAACACTTTGCTTGGACATTTCCCAGACCATCCATGCCAAGTAGAAAAGAGAAAGCAAGACCTTCAGAATTACAAATCACAGTTTCTGTAAGTAGGGAAAAGATTATTTTAAACTTAATCTAAATTGGTACAACCTATGTAAATAAGTCATATAAAAATAATCTAATACCTGGAAGCAGATTTTGAATTTATTTTTCTCTGTTGAACAGATTGCCTCAAACTTGTTTCAGATTAAACTCTTATTTGTACATGTTACTTTACATCAAAGTCATTACATAGCTAATGAATTAATCAATCTTGAAGTCTAATGCTATATCTGGTGGTTACTGTCAGAAAATGTTCACCAGCTACACACAAAAATAACCTAAAATTTGAATATTATAGCAGAAGTGATTTTGTGGTTTTGCAGCTTCCTATATTCTTTGATTTGCAATTGAGGCTACATGATACTAGAAGATTGAAGTTTACTATTCCTTCTATAAAATGAGTTATCCTATTAATTAGCAAAGCATAAAACTGGTATGCATGGGACACCTATTTTGCTATCACAATATTTTTAAAGCATCTCCCAAAGTTACAGCTAATGCATTCATTCAAAGGCCATTAATTATACTGGTAGTGATCCAAGAAGCATACTTCTCTTCGTGTTTCTCTTTTAATATCATATGGACATTGGATTGTTGGTGTCTCTACTGGAATATTCAAAGAGTATAATAAGTAAATATAAAATCAGTTTTTGTGGCAACTTATTAAAACCACATTTGACAAATCTTTGGATATGAGTTGAAAACCAGTTATAGCATTGCTACCCAAGTTTATGTAGATCAAATGAAATGTTTGTTTCATTTTTTTGTCCCCATTTTCAACAATACTCCACAGTCATGATCTCAGGTTTTAATTTTGACTAGAGACTTGAAAAGCAGAAATAGAAAGTTTGTTCTGAATAATACACCTATCACAAGAATATCCCTGATAAATTTCAAAGTCATCAGTTTTTCCTGGCTCAATCGGGGGGGGGGCATGCAGCATGTCAGAGATAATGTTCCAAAAGGACCACACTTTTGATTGTCAGGACAGATCATAGATATCATAGATCATTAAGAACTTGTTCCAATCCTAATATGAATCATTAAGAGTATCCTAACATTTCCCTTAAAGTCATATAATTTTCAAAGCAGAATTATGACACATACACATACACACACACACACACACAACCTTGAAATAGAAAAAATATTATATTCAATTTTGAATAGATTTTTAATGAAAAGATAAACTATTTCAATATGGCAATATGAAAATATAGAACATTCACAAATTCTCGTTATTCTAACTTAACTTTTCAGAGGCAAGACCAAAGAAAACTAGAGGAAGGTCAGAAGCCAGCTCATATATGGATAAGGCATTCTTTTAGAAAAATTTTTCAAAGGCCATCCATTTACCTAGCTATCGGGATACAGGCTCCATTCAGACATCATTATAATCCCAAAACCCGTGATATAAGGGCAGAAATTAAAACGTCAAAAGATGTTAAAAATAGAACAATTTTAGAGAATTATTCCAAGAAAGAAACAGGCCCATATGTAGCAAATCCAGAATCCAAGAAAATAGTAAAAGATGATAAGCCTAAAAGAATAAGTAAAGGAGATAAAACTCCATCAAAAACATCATTTGAAAGTGAAATATTTAAGAAATCAAAATCCAAATCAGAAAAAAATCCAGAATTCAAATATTCTAAGTTAGGCTCTAAAACATATTCAAATAAAGATATGAAGAATACAATGAATTCCAAGAAGAGAGATACTGAATCCACATACTCAAGAAACAATCCAAAGAAAGACTCTAAGGTGATCTTAAAGAAGAATTCTGATGGCAAATCAGAGACTTGCTCAATAAATATTTCAAATGTAGATTTAATTATGTATTTGGAGGAGATTGTTACTAAATTCATGGATGTCAATACATGGTCAAAGAATTATTCACAGAACAATTCAAAGAAAGATGCAAAGAAGGAAAAAAAGGAGGGGAAAAAGAAGGGCGGAAAGAAAGGCTCTGATGCAGAATCTGAAGACTCAAAAGATGCAAAGAAGAAGGATAAGAAAGGTGGAAAGAAGGATAAGAAGAAGGATTCAAAGAAGGACACAGAGTCTACTGATGCTGAATCTGAAGAGTCAAAAGATGCAAAGAAAGATGATAAGAAGGATAAGAAATCAAAGAAAGGTGACAAGAAGAAGAATTCAAAGAAGGACACAGAGTCCACTGATGCTGAATCTGAAGAGTCAAAAGATACAAAGAAAGATGATAAGAAGGATAAGAAATCAAAGAAAGGTGACAAGAAGAAGGATTCAAAAAAAGATGCAGCCTCTACTGAGGAGTCTGAATCTGAAGGGGATACCAAAAAAGGTAAAAAGAAGGGCAAGAAAGATGCCAAAAAGAAGAAGGATGCAGGATCTACTGATGCTGATTCTGAGTCTGAAGGGGATACCAAAAAAGGTAAAAAAGGTGAAAAGAAGGGCAAGAAAGATGCCAAAAAGAAGAAGGGTGAAGAGTATACTGAAAGTGAGACTGATGCAGAGGCAATAGATGGTAAGAAAGGTTCAAAGAAAGAGTCCAAGGATGCAAAGAAGGAAATAGAGTCTACTACGGATGACTCTGATAAATCACTAAATAAACAGGATTCTAAAAAGATAACTGAGGACTCAGATGCCACTTCCACAGATTCAAGGAAGGCACCAACAGACCTGAAGAGAGGTGGATCCAGAATGTCATCCAAAAAGACTACTTTCCAAGAAAAAGAGAAGCAAACAATTTCAGGTAGAGTTCCTCCAACAAGAGAAAGACCACCACTCCCTCCTTGTGAGCCTTTTTTACCATCACCTAAAGTGAAACGTGTCTCTCAGTGCAAGATGCCTCCTCCACCTCCAAAACAAAGATATGCTCCTTTGGTATGTTTACTCCTGTTTTATTTTTCAGGGAAAAATATATTTTTAAATTTAAGACTTTTAAAAGTTTGAATTTTCATATTTTCTAAAGAATAGCCCTCTTTTAATTGTAATATTGTACAAATTTGGTCTCAGAGGCAGGAGAGATTATAAGTACTGTGAAATGTCTTAAAAGAGTAGCAAAACAAATGTTAACATTTTAGAGAATAAGAATTATTTGGACTATAGCACAGGGAAGTGGATCTTAGTTTAAGAAAACAAATTAATTTTAAGTAAGGTCATTTAACAAAAATGATTAACTGCTCTATACTTACCTAAATCAAAATTGAAAACTGACTAAAACTTCTACATTGGCAGATTTAATTGATATATGAAGTCATTTCCTGGGAAGTTGCTGAATATAGTAAAAGCTCAATTAAGTAATATCTACTCATAGCAGTTGGTAATATCCCAAAATTCAGATGTGCAAAAATTGTTATTTAATCTGAGTCTGGACTAAACATTTTTTGTGAGTTATCATCTTTACTGATACCAGAAAATGAATATTAACTGTCCACAAGTAACCCGGTCTCCTTTGGTTTCTAACAGTCACTTTCAGGTTAACTCCATTTCTTTGGAGGTAAATACCATGTATATTTAGCTTCTATTTTTTTCTCATTCAACAGATTATGTCTTCCTTCTCCATTCCTCAAGTAGTCTTTCTTTAATGTTTATTTTTTTAGTTGTAGTTGGACACAGTACCTTTATTTCACTTATTTATTTTTATGTTGTGCTGAAGATCGAAACCAGGGTCTCACATGTGCGAGGCAAGTGCTGTATCACTGAGCCACAATCCCAGCCCCTCAAATAGTCTTATTTTAGGGGAAATATTTAAAAATGTATCACTTTGGAAGGATGGTTTCTGGTTCCACATGCCTCACTTTCTGGTTCTCTTTAGTTTTTGGTTGAGGTTTAACTCATATGTATGGTTTCTGAACATCAATGTGTTTCTTTGCTCTCACAGTATTTATTGCCTATTCTCAGTATAGTGGGACTAATACCCTCTGTCATGCAAAATACAGATCATCTGTAGTTATGGTGAGGTCTTAATCTTAAGCTTCTCATTTTCCTTTATTGCCTCTTCCTATCACTCTACCTTTCTTTCCTCCTCTTTCTACTCTCCGCTCTCCTCCTCTTCTTTGACTCTTTCAAGGAGCTTCAGTTTCTATTCTACTCTGGTAGGCAATTCATTTTACCCTATATCCCAAGTTTCTATTTTTGGTTTATAATAAAACTATGTACAGACGTCCACTTGCATTCCATATATTAATAACAGTTTAAAAATTAGAAACTTTTTTATATTTCTCACAAGACCTACTTCTGAAGCCCATTTTTCTCCCAGTATTTTCATAAAGCCTGCTTTGCAACTCAAATGTGATTAACGACCCCTTGTTTTACATGATATCTTTTCTCTGAACCTTATGGACTGAGTCAATGGATGGGTAGCCACCAGGTCGACAAAACTTACAAGGAATTAAAATACACTGGAGAATAATTTTAAGGTAATTGTGAAAAATTACCCTCAAATATCTACATTTATTACAAAAAGCAGTTTTGATAAAAATAAGTAAATTATGAGAAAAATTATAGCCAATGACTACATTTAATTAAGAAAATAAGAAATAATACCTATTCTCCTTAATAAAATTCCTTTACATATTCCCAGTCCAGGTAGGCTTTTCCACCTTTATCATTCTACTGAAACTGCTCTTCTAAAGGTTACCAAATACCATTTTTGTGGCCACAGACACTGGTTTCTCCTCTCTCTCTCCATGTTATTCTGCCATCAAAAAACTTTTAAACTAACCATTCTTTCCTTCTAGAAACACTTTCTATACTTAATATTTGTGACACTGTGCTCTCCTATTTTCATTTCTGTTTGGTGGTAGCTTATAATCACCTCCATTCTATCTTCTGCTTCACCATTAAATATTGTAATGACACAAGTCTTGCTCTTGACTTTTAATATATGCCATCCACATTGCTGAATTAACCAAATCCAATGGCTTTAAGTGCCATCTATGTACTAATGATTCTAAACTTAACATCTTTAGCCTTGCTTTTCCCATTGAGATCTAAATTCTTACTCCAAGTGCCTGCATGAAATCTCCACTATATTATCTACTAGGCGCCTCAACACAATATGTCTCAACAATCTTTCTTTTACATTTATTTATTTATTTGTTTGTTTGTTTGTTTGTTTGTTTGTTTGTTTTGGGACTGGGAATTGATCCCAGGGGATTTGTACATCCCCAGCCCATTTTATTTTACATATAGTTTTTGAGATAGGGACTTACTAATTTCTAAGAGGCTGGCCTCAAATTTGCAAAACTGTCTCAGCCTCCTGGGCTACAGGGATTACAGGTCTGCACCATCATGCCCAGCAGTAGATGGAGTTTTATTTGCACAGAGTATGGAACTCAGGGGTACTTTACCACTAAGCTACATTCCAAGGCCACACCTCTTTTTTGAGGTAGGGTCTGGCTAAGTTGTCAAGGCTCACCTTGAACTTGTGATTTTTCTACCTCAGCCACCCAAGTAATTGAAATTCAGGAGTGTGCCACTAAGCATAGCAACTCAGTAACACTCTTAACCTCTCCTAAAATCTGTTCCTACTCTAGCCTCTGTCTTATCAAATGGCACCACTATCCAACTATTTGAGATTTTAAATCCCGAATACAATATGAATTTCTCTTTTCCTCACCCCTAACATGTAATCAACTAGTAAGATATAGCTACCTTATAACCTGAAGCAGCACAGTTTTCTTCATCTCCAAAACTACCACTTTAATGACCCAAATCATCAACATTGTCTTTCTGGAATACTATGAAAGTTTCCAACTAGTGTACCAATATAATGCTTAAAAGATTTTGGTGGATTCCCATTGCAATCAGGATAGAGTCAAATTCCTTACTCTTGTTTTCAGTCCCTACATTATCCAGCTGCTACCCTTTTTTTCACCCTTAAATTGTATCACTTTTTGCCTTTTATTTAGCTATCTAGCTGAATTAGCATTCTTTTTCTTTCTCATACATATCAAAGCCATTTACTCACCAAGTCTTTGATTTATATTGTTCTCTCTGAATAGAAAACTCATTACTTAGTTTTTCAGCTTAAATGTGGTCTTCAGAGAAGCCTTCCTTAATTACCCCGCTTACCCACTGTCCATTAGATCTCTAAAACCTGAATCCTACTTTATTTCTCTTCACTGAATTTATCTTTATTTTCAAATTAATTGCTGATTAATATTTTTTTAAAATATCTTTATTTACTTATTTTTATGTGGTGCTGAGGATCGAACCCAGGGCCTTGCACACGCTAGGCAAGCGCTCTACTGCTAAGCCACAACCCTAGCCCAATATTTTTAAAATTATAATCATTGTTAGAATTCAAGTTCCCTGCAGGAAGTAATTTTTTTCTTTATTGCTATATGCACAATTTCAACAGCAGAACCTGAACTATATTTATTGTGTGGAGAATTTGGTCTCTCCAAAGAGCTAACAAGTTCACATCATGATAATTGAATTTCTGAAACCCGTTGTTCTACATTTAGTAAGACATGATTATCCTACCACCAAAATATACCCTGAATCAGTCAATTTTTCTACATTTTCATAACTAATAGTACCAATCATCCTCCTTCTTCACCACTTCCTCCTCTTCCTCCTCCTCCTCCTCCTCATCATCATTATCATTATCTCTCCAATATCTGTGCTAGCCATAATAGACAAGGTATTTGAAGTGGGATTTTTTTTAAGTGCATTGTGCATTCTAAGTGTCTGGAAAAATATTTATATTTATACTTTTCATTTAGTGTTGAAGAATATATGAACAGATTGTGTTAATAAGTCTTAGGTTTCCTTTAGTAGGGATTCAAAGAATCACGTCATATTCTCTTTCCATCCCCATTCGAGTTCTACTGAGCTTCACAGCAGAACATAAACAAAGTTACTGTCACATTTCAGGGTTAGCTCTGTTAACACTCTTGTATTAAGATAGCTTTGACTTGAATCCTTGGTCTACATCTTACTACCAATACTGTTGAGTACTTTCTTAATCATTTGGAACACCACATTTCAGAATTGCAAAATGGGGTATTAAAAAGACCTTTTTCATAGGAAAATTAAGCATGTACATTGCTTAGTGTAGTGTATGGCATTGTATTTTGCATAACCCTGAAGCTCTCCTCTCCTCCTATTATATTTCCCCAAAATATATAGGTGGATTTTAATTTTATTCAGATTATATAAATAAAATTAAAAAGAAAAAGATTCTGTGGAAAATGTTCAAGTCTATAAGTAAACCAACCAATATTCTCAACTGTTGTTGTTTTCTCTAGAAAATTGATTAATTGATAATGCATTTTGTTTTCCATCAAGTATTATCATTTACTGAGCCAAAAAAAGATTATATGGAATTACATGATTGTAATTTAATAGCCTAGACAGAAAGACTCATATATACGTTCCAGATTTTAATTTTTTTCTGCTTACTTCCATATCTATAAATAATATCTTTACATATATGCTTCTTAATTTTACACATTTTCTATTGATTTTCTACCATGTTTATGTAATATGTTCTAAGGACCTCACATTCCTTCTTCTAGTATGGTTCAACCTTTATTTTTATTTCTTTATTAAGTCCATTTATGACTTTAAATATTATATTTTGAAATTTTTGCCTAGTTTCCTTACTCTTTAAGTTCTTTCCTGTTGCTACTAGTTCTTCATTTAAAATTGCTCATTTTAATTAGCATATTATAATTCTTCAGATTATTATGTCATATTTATACATGCACATAATTTGATCAGATTCATTCCCCTGAAACTTTCCTTTCCCTCCCCTCCACCTTCTGCATGATTCACTTTCTCTATTCTAATATCCATTTTCTTTTTATTATTATTAATTTAATCATTTCATTGTAGTTATATGTAAAACCTGTATTTGTTGTGGTGTATTTGTACATGAATATAGCATAATTTGGTAGTTTTCCTTCTCTAGTACCACCTGATGCACTACACTATTCCCTCCCTCTCGATCCCCTTGTCTGTTCTGTTATTCTCCCTTCTATTTTCATGAGATCCCTTTTTTATACATTATTTTCCTTCTCAATAGATTCCAAATATGAGAAAAAAAACGTTTGAACAGTCAATTTCTGAGTCAGGATTATTTCATTTAGTATGATGTACCTCCTGTTGTTCCTCCATTTAACAGTAAATGACATAATTTCATTTTATTTTTTATGGCTGAGTAAGCCTCCATAGTATACATGATTTCCTATAGTGATCTTTCACCAAATTCTATGGCTTTGTCTCTATTGACATTTCCTTGTCACCTTTTGTCTTTATCAGAAATATATCTCTTCCTGTAATATCCCTGAATGTTTACTCTCATATTTGTTTCCTCCTCTTCTCATATCACTATTTCTCTATCTCAGTTTCTGATACTTACACTTTTTTCCATGTGCAATTCAATATTGTTTTTTTATGGCTCAGTTTTTAGACGTTCATTCTTCTCTACATATTCTATTTGGAAGCATTTTTATATTATTATTTCTTCCATTTTGCATTTCTATTTTTATTTTTTCATACCTCTGAAGGAATAAAATATATCTCTAGACTGTTCTCTTATCCAAAAGCTCACCTGTTATTTCTTATATTTAATCAATTTATAGTTGCAGATGGGAAAAAAAGGATTTGAGATTTAAATTTATCTTTAAATTGTATTTTTGTGCATGAGTGATTTGAAATAAATCCTCTATAAATAATAGTATCTAACCTACTCATTATAATAAATTATTCTTATGTTCAAATGAGAAAGAAGTTAAAAGAGTTTTGTAAATGACAAATTATTATATAAATACAATGATTTATTATAGTTATTACTGCCTTTTGCCTTCTTTATATTACTCCCATTTTTCTTCAGTACCCCCTTCTTTTGTTATTTACTTCAAAACACAACTTTCCCTCCAAAAAATAACACATTTTTTTCTATTTTTTGGTTGACATTAATATTATCTTCCAAACAAACTGAAAATCCCCCATTGGCATTGACTAAATTCTTATATTCACCATAGCACCAGAATGTTGTTCTGCATGCTGAATATGATTAATAAATATCTGTTGATTAACATGGAGATTTTGCCAGCAGAAGCCATGGCTTTATTTTTAACTTGAACATTACATTTTTATTTGGATTTTTTGTAATATTCATTTGACTCATCAATTTAACTTTCTCCATTTTATCTGAATTATCTTTTGCAAACTTTGCTGGATTCTGTTGACCCTATCTTGAAAATATACCTAGAATTTAATTGCTACCCATTAACTGTGTTGTGATGCTGCAAGTCTAAGCAATTGTTATCACTCTCCTGAATTACTGCAGTAACTGTATAAGAGATCTTTATGCTTTTAATCTTTCCTCATTGTATTATCACCAAATTATGCTGTTCTATCCTGTGCATGAATGAATATCTGACAACAAATCCTACTGTTGTGCATAGTTATTATGCACCAATAAATAAGTTTAAAAAGAAGACTTAAAAATGTCCCCTTGAATATCAGATTATGTCACCCTATGCTTACAACTCCTGTAACAAAGGGAAGGGGCATATGAAACTTTTGGGGAGTGAGTGAAGTGTTCAATGTCTTGACTGCAGGAGTGTTTTGACAACTGTATGTCTGTAGAAACCCATCAACCTGTAAATTGATGTAGTTTGTTTTATATCCATTTAATCAACAAAGCTGTTTAAAACAAAGTTGATGAAAATATATGATACTTAGAATCAGCAGAATTAAATTAAAACTGAAAGAAACAAACTAACCTGAAAAAACTCTATAATGCCAGAATAAATGACAAAATGTTTACAATTTTCAACAAAGCCCTAGATAATATGACTCACTTTTACCTCTTATTTCATTTTTTTTCTACTTTGTCAACCTGATTTAACCACATTGGCTCCTCCACTATTCCTTGAATAACCCAGGAATATTATTTAGGGGTATATAGTTGTCATTTCCTCTACCTAGAGTATTCTTTCCATAGATTTCTGCATGGTTAACTCCCTTACTTCTTCAAAAATTTGCTCACCTGTCAAATTCTCAATGAGGCAACTCTGACCTCATTATTTAAAAGTGCAACTGTTGGGCATGGTGGTGCTTACCTGTAATCCCAGCATCAGAAAGCTGAGGCAGGAGGACGGAAAATTCAGCTCCAGCCTCAGCAACTTATGGAGGCCCTAAGCAACCCAATAAGACCCTGTCTATAATAAAATACAAAAAAAAAAAAAAAAGGCTGGGGATATGGCTCAGCAGTTAAGTGCCCCTGGGTTCAATACGTGGTACCAAAAAAATGCTATTCTTCCCCTTCACACTCTCACCCTTATCTCATCTACATGTTCATTAATTTGCTACCTTCCAATATTTAATTTAATTATTTATTATGTTGGTTGTGGATTGTACATACCCTTTGCTAGAAAAGCAAACTCCTTAAAGCTAAACTCCTTGCTTTGCTTACTAATATATCTGAAATGACCTAAAAAGTGTCTGGCACTCAATATTTGTTGAATAAGTAGATGATATTTCTTAGATAAGTAGGGAGAAATGAATGAAATAATTATTGGACAGTTACATGAACACAGGATGGAGTTATTATGAATTTTTGGTGTGCTCAGTCTATGAACTAATCTATTCATTAGTTGAATAATGGTGAAGAAACTGATATTTAAGCTGGATCATGAAGGATGAGGAAAATTTTGACAGACAGACAATAGAAAAGTTTCTATCCAAAACTACTCAACTAACGCAACTGTGAAATTGTATTAAGAGATGGAACATTAAAAGATGATTCTGAAAGAGTATGTTAACTGAGTAATAACTGTCATAGTAGTCAGAATAAAAGGCTAAAGCCCATAAAAGCAGCAACAGGATATTTTGACACCACTCCAAAAGTTTATTACAAGAAATAAGTAAAACCTCTAACAGGAGGAAGGGAAATTAAGTTCTGATTTATATGAGGATAATTTCTTAAATGCATTTTTAATCTATATACTTTCCAAATAATGTTTTGCTTGTGTTGTAATTATTGATTTTCTGCTACTTTCTGGCACTCTAAGAATGCATCCAATTAATCTACCCTTTCCTCCTCACCTACCATGAGGCTTCATGTCCTATTGTTGGACCCCGGCTGTCAATAATAAATTCTAATTCCACAATATCACTTCCTTGTACAATGTCCCATTATTTGGACATTTTCAAAAATTTTTCATTTTCAGAGCTATCAAGTTAACTTACCAAGAAGGCATTAAGTTTGTTTTTTGTTATTCTTCCACCAATAATTATAGTTTAACAAAGGAGTTTAAAAATGCTAAAGCTACAGATCTAAAAAATGCATTTGGATTTGGAATAATGTGGAATGCTTTAGAATGCAAGGCATCTGTAGTGCATCTCCCAAATCACAATATCTAGATAGAAGTAATTCCACATGTATTTAAAGCTAGATCTAATCAACACTTTACCTCAATTATTTGGGAAGCATAGCAATGTTTGAAAGAATATTGAACTATTAATCAAGAGTGCTGAAGAGGCACATTTCTGAGAATAAAATCAAAATCCTTATAAGATTAAATCAGAAAAGGGCTAAGGATATAGTTCAGTGGTGCAATGTTTGCCTAGCTTGCATGAGGCTCTGAGTTCAATCCTTAGTATAGGGGAAAAGTTAAACAAAAATAAGAGATAATTTGTGCAGGAAGAAATAAATATGAGATATAATCATGAAAATGTGTTGACTATGGGTAGCTATCAATCTAATCAACCCTATGGGGTAATTTCACCTCTAATAATTCAACAAAACACACACACATATATCATAAATACAGCAAATATAATTTTGTATTTATTATTTATGTAATAGATATATTGCAGCTGTTGAAGCTTCAAAGACAGTGGTGCATTTATTCACTGATGATTACAGAAGGAGACCTATGCAAACTTTCCTACCTTCTTCTGGGTGTATGTGGGAATATGTAGAAAGAATCATAAATGATGACTGCAATGCAATCTATAAGAGAAAGACTTTGGAATTAAATTAAATATATAAAATTAAGGGAATGCTATAGTAAAACATGAAACAGAATAATACACTTTCATGGAAATGATAATTATGAAACATAGAGAATTAGAAGGAAAAGATAAAACCATAATATTAATAGAGGCAGCAGAGAATACTATCATATTCCAGCTAGAGAAAAATCTATATGTGAATGACACATCTCTATAGTAGACACATTTACAACTAAAAATATTTGTATCATCCTGGTAAAATTTGCAGTTACTATCAGTTATTTTTAAATCCATTTTATGTTATATTTTCATCTTTAGACATTCTAGTCCACTAAAATAGTTAGTAGTTAAAAAGTGAGAGATTATACTGATGAAGTGATAATGATGTACTTTGATTCATGTACAAATAATGGTGACTAGTCTCGCATTCATTAATTCTCACCCTTCACTGGACATTATCATCACTCAGGAAGCTTGATCAGCATGCACATTGCTAGACTCAATGTTCAGAGATTTTGATTTGGTAGATCTGGAGTCCAGGAACCTGCATTTTTAAGAATAAATAATAAAAATGATATCCAAGTATCCTTCCATGTATTAATTATATGCTTTGGTATGGTCTGCAACACATCAGGGGTTTTCTATATTTAATAATGTTTTCTGTTTTATTTTCATCTTTCTGCTTTATTCCTCAGCCTGAAGCAAAGTGGATTCATAAGCTGCTTTAAAGAACAACTAAGCAGTTGGTTTCACAGAATGGCCTTAGAATAAGCACCAACTACTACTCTCCAAAGAGCATTACTACTTCTGGGGAACTGTAATAAATAAAAACAATTCTTTCACGGGAACCAGGGACTTATTTTTTGCATATAATTTATTAAGGTACTTTAGAGAGTTTTGTTTTTATTACATGCCTCAACTACTGAGACCAAAATAATATAGCATTTTACCTCTGTTTCTAAAGTGAAGCTGCAGCTTCACTTTAGAAACAATTTCTGAGTTTGGGTTAAAAAGTAGCAGTCTTACTTTATATGACTGTATCATGTTTTGTTAAACTTATTTTTTAAATTTTTATTTGTTCTTTTTAGATATACATGAAAGTAGAGTATGTTTTGACATATTATACACACACGTAGCACAACATATTCTAATTAGAAACCCATTCTTTATGTTGTACATGATGTAGAGTTAGTTTCACGGGTTGTGTATTCATATATGGACATAGGAAAATTGTGTCTGATTCATTAAATTTCTCTTTTACTTAGCATTCCAGCAACTATACAAATAATGAAATAAAGTGCCACAGTCTGGCTGGGCACAATTCAGGAGCCACTTGTCAAAAGAAACGAACTTTATTTTTAGAACACACACACCAAACCACACAGCTCCTCAGGAAAAACCTTCAGAGCCCAACTGCCACCACCGGCTTCCCACAAGCCTGTCAATCTCCCCCACTCCTCCTACTCTTGAGGCCGATTGGCTGGGTTGCGTGGGCGGAGCCAAAAAAGTCCCCCAATGAGCAGCTACTGGTCTGAAAGGGCGGGGAAACAGCCCAATGAGCATCACCGCAGAGGAGCCAGTCAGTTGGCAGCTAGAAGTTTGCTGGGGCTGCTGTGAGCCAATCATCAGCTGGCAGCTGGAAGTTTGCTGGCAGCTGGAAGTTTGCTGGGGCCTCTTTGGCTGTGGCTCTCAACAATAAAGCATAACTTCTGTACCCTTAAAAGAAAAAGTAAGTTATATGCAGATAAACCTGGCAAGATTCTTTGACCAAATATTTGACTATTTCTTGAAACTTATCCTAAGACTATTCTAGTAATTTCCTTATAAAATTCAGTTGTAGCAAGAATTCTGCTAAATCAGTTTAGTAAGAACCCCTATCCTAATTATCTGATCATCTTTTAGATAGAATTAGTTTCCTCATATTCTACCATCCTTGAAGTGATATCTGATATCCAAAGTATCCTGTTAGGAGAGTTTACCCAGAGATTTTCCTTAACACTAAATGTAACTGTTTAGAATTTTCCATCTACTGATTACCTCTTCCTTGGCTATAAATTCCCACCTATCCATGATATATGAAGAGTTGACACCAATCTTTCATCATACACTGCTAGATCCAATTACTATTGTCACTGTAATTATCATAACATTCCACTCTTGAATAAAGTCTGCTTACCATCCTCAATAAAAGTCATTGGATATTGTTTTCTTTAATTCCTATCCCCCACACAGCTGTACAGAGAGATCTAAGCTTAAATATTGAACATTTTACTCTTTAGGTTATAGCATTTTTTCTTTCTTTTTCCTGAACTTTTAAAAATTTACATGACAGCAGAACGCATTACGATTTTTATTACACATATAGAACACAATTTTTCATATCTCTGGTTGTATACAAAGTATATTCACACCAATTTTTGACTTCATACATGTACTTTGGTTAATAATGACCATCACATTCCACCATCATTTCTAAACACATGCCCCCTCCCTTACCCTCCAAACCCTCCACCCTATCTAGAGTTAGTCTATTCCTCCCATTCCCCCTCTCCCTAACCCACTATGAATCAGCCTCCTTATATCAGAGAAATATTCAGCATTTGTTTTGTGGGGGATTGGCTAACTTCACCTAGCATTATCTTCTCTAACTTCATCTTTTTACCTGAAAATGTCATGATTTTATTCTCTTGTATTGATGAGTAATATTCCATTGTGTGTGTGTGTGTGTGTGTGTGTGTGTATATATATATATATATATATATATATATATATATATATATATATATATCATTATTTTTATCCATTCATATATTGAAGGGCATCTAAGTTGTTTCCACAGTTTAGATATTGTAAATTTGCTGCCATAAAACATTGATGTGGCTGTTGTCCTGTAGTATGGTGTTTTTAAGTCCTTTGGGTACAGGAAGAGGAGAGGGATAGCTGGGTCAAATGTTGGTTCCATTCCCAATTTTCCAAGAAATCTCCATACTGCTTTCCATACTGGCTGTACCAATTTGCAGTCCCACCAGCAATGTATGAGTATACTTTTTCCCCACATCCTTGCCAACACTTGTTGTTGTTTGACTTCATAATGGCTGCCATTCTGACTGGAGTTAGATGGTATCTTAGAGAAGTTTAATTTAAATTTCTCTGCTTGCTAGAGATGATGAGCATTTTTTCATGTATTTGTTGATTGATTGTATATCCTCTTCTGAGAAGTGTCTGTTCAGGTCCTTGACCCATTTATTGATTGGGTTATTTGTTTGTTGTTTTCATTTATATAAAACTTCTTGAGTTCTTTATATACCCTAGAGATTAGTATACTATCTGATTGTGAGGGGTAAAAATTTGCTCCAAAGATGTAGGCTCTCTATTCACCTCACAGATTGTTTCTTTTCCTGAGAAGAAACTTTTTTGAGTCCATCCCATTTATTGATTCTTGATTGCCAAAGGAGTCTTATTAAGGAAGTTGGGGCCTAAACCCACATGATGGAGATGAGGGCCTGTTTTTTCGTCTATTAGATTCAGAGTCTCTGGATTTATTCCTAAGTCCTTAATCCACTTTGAGTTGAGTTTTGTGCATGGTGAGAGATAGGGGTTTAATTTCATTTTGTGGCATATGGATTTCCAGTTTTCACAGCACCATTTGTGAAGAGGCTATCTTTTCTTCAATGAATGTTTTTGGCACCTTTGTCTAATATAAGATAATTGTAATTTTATGGGTTAGTCTCTTTGTCCTCTATTCTGTACCACTGGTCTATCAGTCTGTTTTGGTGCCAATACCTGCTGTTTTTGTTACTGTTGCTTTGTAGTATAGTTTAAGGTCTGGTATAGTGATGCCACCCACTTCATTCTTCCCACTAAGGATTTATTTAGCTATTCTGGGTCTTTTATTTTTCCAGATGAATTTCATGATTGCTTTTATTTTTCTATGAGAAATGACATTGGGATTTTGATACAAATTGCATTAAATCTGTATAGTGCTTTTGGAAGTACAGTCATTTAGATAATATTAATTCTGCCTATCCAGGAGCAAGGTAGATCTTTCCATATTCTAAGGTCTTCTTTGACTTCTTTCTTTAGGGTTCTGTAATTTTCATTATGTAGATCTTTCACCTCTTTCATTAAGTTGATTCCCAAGGTGTTTTTTTTTTTTTCTTTTGTGTTTCTGTTTTGGTTTTTGTTTTTGTTTTTGATTTTTTTTGAGGTGATTGAAAATGGGGTAGTTTTCCTCATTTCCCTTTCTGAGGATTTGTCACTGATATACAGAAATGCCTTTGATTTATGGGTGTTGGTTTTATATCCTGCTACTTTGCTGAATTCATTTACTAGTTATAGAAAATTTCTGGTTGGAACTTTTAGGGTTTTCTAGGTATAGAATCATGTCATTATGAAATAGTGCCAATTTGACTTCTCCTTTTCCTATGTGTATCCCTTTAATTTCTGTCTAATTGCTCTGGCCAGTGTTTCAAGAACTATGTTAAATAAAATTAGTGAAAGGGGGCATCCCTGTCTCATTCCAGGTTTTAGAGGGAATGCCCTCAATTTTTCTCCATTTAGAATGATGTTGGCCTGGGGTTTAGCATAGAAAGTTTTTAAGATGTTGAGGTATATTCCTGTAATTTCCAGTTTTTCTAGTGTTTTGAACATGAAGGGGTGCTGTATTTGGTCAATGTTTTTTTCTGCATCTATTGAGATGATCATATGATTATTATCTTTAAGTCTATTGATGTAATGAATTACATTTATTGAACCAACCTTGCATCCCTGGGATACTTGATCATGGAGCATGATATTTTTAATATGTTTTGTATTCTATTTGCCAGAACTTTTAGAATTTTTGCATGTATGTTCATTAGAGATATTGGTCTGAAGTCTTCCTTTTTTGATGTGTCTTTTTCTGGATTTGGAATCAGGGTGATATTGGCCTCATAGAATGAGTTTGGAAGTGCTTCCTCTTTCTATCTCCTGAAATAAATTGAAGAGTATTGGTATTAGCTCTTTTTTAAAGGTCTTGTAGAACTTGGCTATGTCTCCATCTGGTCCTGGGCTTTTCTTGGTTGGTAGACTTTTGATGGTGTCTTCTATTACATCACTTGATTGATCTGTTTAAATTGTGTATAACCCTAACCCTAACCCTGATTCAATTTGGGCAAATTATATGACTCTAGGAATCAATGCCTTCGATATTTTCTACTTTATTGGAGTACAAGTTTTCAAAATAATTTCTAATTATCTTCTGTATTTATGTAGTGTCTGTCATATTTCCTTTTCACCATGTATGTTAGTAATTTGAGTTTTCTCTCTCCTTCTCTTCATTAGCATGGCTAAGGATCAGTCAATTTTATGTATTTTTTCAAAGAACCAACTTTTTGTTCTATCAATTTCTTCAATTGTTTCTTTTATCTCCATTTCATTGATTTCACCTCTGATTTTAATTATTTCCTGTCTTCTACTGCTTTTGATGTTGACTTGTTCTTCTTTTTCTAGGGCTTTGAAATGTAATGTAAAGTCATTTATTTGTTGACATTTCTTCTTTTAAGGAATGAACTCCATGCAATGAGTTTTCCTCTTGGAAATGCTTTCATAGTGTCCCAGAGATTTCGATGTTATATCTGTGTTCTCATTCACCTATAAAATATTTTAATCTCCTCCTTGGTATCTTTTGCCAACCCATTGTTCATTCAGTAGCATATTATTTAGTCTCCAGGTATTGGAGTATGGATTT